CCACTCAGAGCCACTAAGGAAGAAATAATAGTTGTTGAGTCAACAATGAAGAACACTAATTCGGCCAAAAAGGGAAGGGTTACTACGAAAGTAACAGATGTTGCCAATAAGGTGGTATTTGAAAAACCACAATTAGCCATGACCCAGCAGTTAAGGCCGTTTTATGTGAAGGTTTGGGTGGAAGGACAGCCAGTCAAAGGGTGCTTCAGCCATTAACGTTACTCATGTCGTAACTTTGAGTTCGTGGAAAGAAGTACATCGGCTATCCTGTGGAAAGTCTTACATAGCCGATGCAATTCTCTATAGTGAGAATTATATGTTTATCAGGTTCAAAGGCATGGAATAAATAGGGCGACCAACATCGACCACTATGAAAATAAGTCTGGCTGATGCTAATTTCAACAACTTACTTAGAGAAATCTCACGGCTGATTATAGATCTTCCACGGCCGGTTGTTAAGATCCAAACAGTTGGTGATGGAGGAAGAGGCCAATAAAGAATCAAATAGGAAACAGGCCTTCCGAGCCACTTCCATTAAGTTAAAAGCTTACTCAGCTGAGAAACAATCAGCCATTAGAGAAATTTTATTGCAAATGTTTTTGGCCGACGTGGCTAAAATTATTAAAGAAGATGCAAATCCAAAGACTTGGCATGAATTGATGTCAAAAGATTCATGGGCATACAAAAATTCAAGAAGATCAGGCACCAGAATAATTCCATATCGGAATAATGCCATTCTTTCGGTTAGATCGGCTAAAATGACATTACATAACAACTTGATTCCGGCCGATCACGATCATGCCTTGTTAGCAGTGTTTGAAAACTTTGATGGTGAAGTCCATTTTTGGTCTGTAAATGGCAGAAACCTTGAAGGGTATCAGCTAACTTTTTGAGAAGTTATGGAAGAACGTGATCGGCCAGGGTAGCAGGCTGATATGAAATAAATACCATCATCCTAATGGTTCGAAATAAAAGAAGTTGATATCATTTTGGAGTTCGTTTGCCATTTTATTCCAACTATTAATTTAGCCATGGTCCTTTCCTATATATTTTAAAATTTCAAAAAATCTTATCGGTTTGGGCAGCTATAAGACATTTAAAATTTGGGGGGCATAGTGCTGATACACAAAAATAGCAGCTTAAGTGGCAGCCATTTTGGTATCCACGTGGACAAATGAGGGAGAGACAAGGGGACCAAATTCATGGTCAAACAATAAATTGACACGTGGGCTTCATTGAAGGGAAATAAAATTCCAACACTTGTGTAGTCCGGCAGATAACAAATGTGTAATATTTCAACTGACACTTGGAAGAATGCAGAAGTTCACATGTGGCAGAGTTATATAGTTAATTATATAGTAACAGCTAACTATATAAGTCTGCCACAAAATGGGTATAATTAGTACTCCAAACAAGTCCTAAAAAAGAGGGATGATGGGTCAACTCAATGCTACAAACAAGGAAGTGGGTTGGACACTTGGCAATCACAGAGATAAGGATAAGAGATGAAGGCCTATTTTGAAGGTACTGGGCTAACAATCAGTTTGTAAGTTACGAAGACTATATATATATATATCTTCTATTTGGATAATAAGCTTGCAGTTGAAGGATCATGGAAAAACTCATGGGGACACATGGCAGCAATAGAAGAAGGAAACAGTTCGTGGGTCTGGAAGTTGAACTTCTGTCGCTGGCAATGGGAATTCTTGGATAGATTGTTTCCTATAATCAAGGAGGGGATTAACCTAACAAGTTTGACATGTATAAGAACTGCTATAAACTGCCTAGCTTAGTTCAGAAGTTCCTATTTTTAAGGGATTTAAAACTGAAGAGTAGTTAAGGAAAGTGGTTCCTCAAATCTAGGGATAATGGGATCATGGTTAGGCAAGCAATCCATTTCAAAATGAATTAAACAGCAGCATTTGAAGGACGTGGTAGGGATAATGGGATCATGGTTAGGCAAGCAATCCATTTCAAAATGAATGAAGCAGTATATATACCACGTCCTTCAAATGCTGCTGCTTCATTCATTTTGAAATGGATTGCTTGCCTAACCATGATCCCATTATCCCTAGATTTGAGGAACCACTTTCCAATTATATATATATATTCAGATAAGTAGTTAAAGAACATGGGACACATGGCAGCAGTGGAAGAAGTTCAAAGGTCGTGGGTCTGGAAGTTAGATTTCTGCTGCTGAACATAGGACAAGTGTCTTGTAAAGAATAGATGGGCAGTTGCTTAAAATAACATGGGTCCTTCTTGTAAGGCTTTAATGCCTATAAATAGTTTGCTTGGGGCTATATTGTAAACTCTCTCAACGGCATCAATCAACATTCAATACTTTGTATTTCAATGCAAGCAATTTCAATACAAGTCTTTTCAATTCCTTTACATTTATGCACTTACTTTCAGTATTGCATTTCAATTCACTAGATAACATTGTAGTCTTAACTAAAAGTCCTTTCATCGAAGGCAAATCTGAAACCTCACAATCGCTTGATCATTCCAAAAGGATCTTCCTTTTTGTTTGACCTCTCTTAATCTTCCGAGATTCTGGCACGCCTGCATATTCCAAGTGTCCCAATTTTACATTTCACCTCAAGACTTGATGATTGACATATAATTCTAGAATTATTATTATTATTATTTTTTATTATTATTTTTTGTAAACATATCACTTAAAGGAAAAAGATTGACAAAGAAAATTAATTTATTTTTATCTTTTCTTTCACCACTAACGCCACCTCCACTGCCTTCCCTTATCGCCATTGCCACCTCCACCGTCACTATTACCGCCACCATTGTCGTCGCTGCTGTCACCACCGCCGCCACCTCCACTGCCTTCCACCACCACCACCTCCAATGCCAATATCTTCCACCATTATCATTGCCATCCACCACTGTCACCTTACCACAGCCTTCCACCACCCACTACCACCACCTACACCACTGCCGCCTTTCACCGCCACCCACCACTTGCTTCTTCCACTGCCACCACAGTTGTCTCTAAACACCACCACTACAGCCTTCAACCTCCACCACCATCATTTATTTTTTTAAAAAAAATTATAGAAAGAATGTTATTTTTTTAATTTAATTTATTTGTTAGGCATTTTGAAATTCCATTCTGGATCTTAATTGGTCCAAAAACACTAAAATGGTTATTATCGTTCTATTTTAATATTGTTTTATATTTGTAACCAAACAATAGAATGAGAATGATTATTCCATTCCCATTTTCAGGGATGGCAACGGGGGCGGGTTTAGGCAGGTGTACCCTCTCCCGCCCCCATAACGGTTTAAAAATCTCGCCCCTATCCCCGCCCGAAACCGTAAAAATGGGGGTACTTTCCACCCTATCTCCGTAACCGTTTAATATTTTTACTCCCGCGGGTACCCGCCCCATCCCATTTAAGACCATAATTTATTTATTGTTGAAATAGATTTGCGCTCTTTTTTTCCCCCTCATCTTCAATTCTTCACCATTGCAAATTTCTTTTTAAACAAATTCATTTTTTACTTTAATATTGTTATACAGGGTACTTAATATATAGTGGGAATATATATACTAATAAAATATAGGTACATAAGTAATTTGTCTATCTAAACGGGGCGGGGCGACCTCCCCCTGCCCTCGCACTAAACCCATGCGGGTTTTTATTACATCAAACAATTCCCGTCCAAATAAGTAAAACGGTCCCCCAAAATTGTCAAAAACAATGCGGGGTAGGGGGTAGGGCGGGTAACCGCGGAGGCGGGTCAAATTGCCATCCCTACCCATTCCTATTTCCACTCAACTTCCAAGAGAGTCACGGCATCTATTAACAATTTTAAAAGGTAGGATTTCCATCATAATGTATTGATCCGTGTTGATAAGCAAGTCTGCGAAACTTTTAATATCCTTTTCACTAGTTGTAGTAAATTCAAGACCTTAAAGAGGAGCAAAATTTAGTACCTTTGAGCAATTCGTGGATTGCCAACAAACGTAAATTCTTTGATTTGAAAATCTTTATGCTCTTCTTACCAAACAGCAGAATAGGTGCAACAACTTTAAACTTCCGCTGATTGTGCAATTGACTTCCAAAAATTCTGATTTTCAGATATGTTGGAGACGCAATTGTTAGATTTCTAACACCATTGATTTCAAGTCAATCCGACTTGTAACGAATAAGATACACCCATTTTAGTGACTGCTGGTCTTGGTGTGAAAAATTTGCATTTTTTAATCTTCAAGCTTTCTTTAATGGTGTTTGAGAGCATTAGAGACCTCCAAACCTTCACTTCTATGATGTACCCACAAGATATGAAAGAGTGAACTTCAACAAGAAAATACAAAACCTAGGCTAGAGAGAAAATTTGAAAACTTGAGTGTGTTATATGCTTGTGCGTGAGACACACTATATATATATATATATAGGCCAAATGGGGCCTTGCACTCTGCTTCTGCGAGTGGGTTCTGTACTCCACGTGACAGTGCAATCTCCATCCTTGGTGTACGACCCAAATGTATTTGACAGTTTTTTTTTTTTCACTCCAAATGTATTTTGACAGTGGAGTTTATGTCACAAAAAACTGTCGAATCCCCAAATGTAGAGGATCCACACTCTTTAAAAATTGTCAAAATTTAGTATCAAATACGAACTAAACTTTCTTCAACTCCAAATTTAAGGTATCGAATCGATATCGCCAAACATAACATGAACATAATGATACCGGAATTTGACAGTTTTTTTTTTTTTTTGGGACCACTGCTAGGCACAAGCTAGACAATGAAATTTGATCACCAAACAAATTTAGCATCTGATAAAACAGATAATTTTAAGAGCTGAAGTTTTAAATGGTAATTGCAAAATATTCCAGTAACACTTAAATTTTTTAAATTGATATCAGGATTGCGTTATCGAACACACTTATTTGGATAAACCTTTTAATCTATCATACCCGGTGTTCTTCGTCAACTTTCATAATCATGAAGCAATAAGAGGAGAAACTCAATATAAAAGAAGAAAAAAATCACATTCACATTCATATGAATAAATTGCATTTCTCTGGAATCAAATTCTTGAGCATTAACCATCATAAAAAAAATAAGAACATGCCAGTTGTATCTGAAATTGGATATGTAAACATAAATTAATAGAAGAAAAAAAAAGGGTATGATGCCAGCAAGCTCTCAAAGCTCTTGGGGACACACATTATGAAACAAATTTATTCCAAGGAATCATAAATTGGGCCGTCATCCATGGAATCAAAGCTTGGGGCATACCACCCCAACTGGTCAATGATCTTCTTCATTCTTTCTTCCTGTCCCTTTGAATTCCCTAAGGCAGTGGTGAAGGGGTAGACATAGGTCACTTTTGTGGCCATAGTCCTATAAGAAACCACATCTCCTTTCACCAAAAATTCTAGCACATCTCGCCCAAACCCTCCATCAACCTCAGCTTGCAGATATTGGCCTGCATTTATTACAATTATGAGTGAAGATTTGGGAGAAAGATAACTAACAAATTAATGATCATACTATGATTGATATTAACCAAGAACACAATCACGGATTGACAGAAACACCACACAGAACACAAAAATTTATGTGATTTGACATAGGGTTAAAGATCAGTGAAGAGATTTCACTATGCGACTAACAAATGGAGATTACCAGTTCTCAAGCCTCCAACCCAGGCTCTCTCACTCTGTTCAAGTTTCAATATTCTCTCTTTTTTGTAACACTACAAACCCTAGCACCCTTGTATACTAGATTCCGAGTCCACAACTCGCAAGACAAAAATGGGTCAAAACCAGGTCGTTTTGTGACCCGGGCTGAAACAAAATTCAGGTCACAACTACACAGAGATGTTGTAAATTTATAAAGAAGTCAAAAATTGATTCATAGTTCACTTTCACTTTCCTATTTCAAGCCTCTAGTGTGTATTTTTTCATTGTCCAGTTTGCAGTGGTTAAAGTCACCACCAGATAATTATTTGAATAGAATCAGACCCAAAAAAATTTATGGGTCACATTGCACACAAAGAAAAGCACATCTTAAACACTTTGCCAAAGCAAAAAAGAAAAGCATATCTAATTATATAAAAAGCTATTCCAGTGCACGAGACTTCCACCATTGTGGAGGGTCAAATGAGTACAGTTTTACCTCTCGATGGCGAGATTTTGAATCCTTAACCTTTAGGTCACAAAGGAGCAATTTTATATGGATGCATTATCTTTATATATCTATACCCACATGGATGCATTTAAGTGTATAAAACATCAATTGCACAATTTTTGGAGTGAAGTTCAGTGTGATTACCATCTGGTGTATCTTCAACAACCTGAATCTTCACATTTTTCTGCGTTTCTAGAATTGCTTCTTGCAATCTCTGCAATAAAATAAAAATAAAAAAAATAAAATCATTTCCATATTTTGCAAAACTAAAAAATTAACTCCAAATTCAAAATGTATATGTATCCTTGACCTGAATAGGATTTTCCAGAGAATTCTCAGGAATTGTCCATGGAAATGCAAATGATGACGATTTTGGATTCGACGATATACAGCCCGGATTTATCGACGGACAAGGCCGAATTTTTCTGCAAGAACAGAGCAATAAAACTATATATTGACACAAAACCATGAAGATTACACTTATTATGAACATAATTAGCAGAAACAATATAAACCCATCAGAGAAAAATAGATTCTGTGAGTACCCATTTTCCAATCCGGTAGGCAAGTTCTTGGATTGAGAGAAAGGAGTGGAAGGTGAGACAGAATTGGACGGAGAGTTGAGAGAAGGGATTGCCAAGGAAGGAAATGGAGAGGAAAGGGTGAGTGAAATGGCTAGGGGGAGTAGAGTGGATAAAAGAAATGGTTTTGTGTTGGAGTTTTGTGGATTGGGTGTTAAATTTGGAGGGAAAGGAGAGGATTTGGCGATGGAGTTTTTGGAGGTTGGGGAATTTGGGGGAGGAAAATGAGCACTGAAGCTCATGTTTGTTATCATTTTTTAACCCTCTGCTTGGACATGAGCCTTGTGGGGATGCTGAGGTAACAAATGAATCCAACTCATCCAAGTGTTGAAGCTCCAACGTAACATCCCTCTCTCTCACTCTCTCTATCTCTCTCTCTCACACACACACACACACATTTCCTTTTTTTTTTTTTTTTTTCATAAACAGACAAAAAAAAAAATAATAATAATAATAATAACTAAAGAAAAAAAAGTAAAATTAAAACCTCTATCTCATTCTTATTTTCTACTCTTTTTTTTCATAAATAGAGAAAAAATATATATTAAAACCTATCTATCACCCATCCTAAAGTGACTCCAAGATATTATTGATGGGTAGGTGGAGAAATTTATCTAAATTTGATTTAATGATTGATATTGTAAATTGTAGACAGGGTCCAAATTTTAATAATCTGATTCAAATTCAATCAATTAACAAATTAATAAATCAATTATACATTTTATTATTATATCTTTTCTAATTATTAATTCATAAAAGAGATCCTAAAAATAAATAGAGTAAACAAATAATAACATAAAAGAATCATTTTATTATTTAGAACCCATACTCATAGTGCCCCAATTACTTTACTCTCTTATTTATTTATTATTTTATTATTTAGAATCATTTTATTATTTAGAACCCATACTCATAGTGCCCCAATTACTTTACTCTCTTATTTATTTATTTATTTATTTTGGATGTTTATAAATTTTCTTTTCTTATTTAATGTTAGATTTACTTTATTTATTTATTTGGATGTTTTATAACTGTTATTTTCTTTTCTTATTTCATATTGCTATTAATAAAACATCCAAATTAATAGTAATAAGTAGCAAATCATGTAGTACTAGTCTGAGTGACGCTGTTTCTCTCTCTTCTGCAATTGTCACCCAAAAATAAAAAATTAGGGTTTTGTTCTCTCTCTTCTGCAATTTGTCACCCAAAAATTCGGGTTTTGTTGGATTGAGCACATTTTTGAATCAATGGAAGAGAAGGTGGCAATCGCAAACCCCAAGACTACACAAGAGCTAGCAGTGGAGGGGCAAAGGCACTTAGAAGACACAATTGAAGCTGCGTTTCAAATACTCTCTTCCATGAACGACGAGCTCTGCGACCCAGCCTTGTGGTCTACAACTACTAGTACTGTGAACAATGGACATCACGGCTCCACTGCGGTAAACGGCGACGTTTCCTCTGATTCGACCCACCACTTCGAGATCGGCGGCGGAGCTCTTGATGAGGCTCGTCTCCGTTACAAATCCTCCGTTGCCTCTCTCCGTTCCGTTCTCACCGCAATACCCAATTCTCATAAGGTAAAAATAGTTTCAAAAAATTTGAATTTTGTGTTTGTTTTTTTTGTTGATGCATATAATAATGTGAGCTGATCATGCGTGCTCTGTTTTGTTGCTGAGAAAATTTAGGCAAATCAGTATGAGTTTTGAATTTTGAGCCTTATGTTTCTATTTTGTTTTGGTCTCTGAAATAAATGTAAAACCAAAATTTCCTAAAACCCTGAAAATTGCATTAAAAATGACCCAGTTTGAATATGTCTTTGTCTCGGATTATGAAACTTCCATGGGAGTTTTCAAGAAAGTTATGGTGCCAGGAATGACAGTTTGGGATATTATGAAAAATTCCAGGAATTATATTGCTAAGGTGGAAATTTGCATGCTCTCATTTCGGAAAATGTGCGGTGAAAAGCAACTCTGAATAGTATTATGCAATAGAAGCTTGAATCTCTAGTGCTAAGAGAAGTTTGAAGCGAACTAAAATTTATGTTCGTCTAGTACCATGAGAGAAAAATAATTGTCATTATTAAATCCTAAAAAGGTTGTATATTTTGTATTATTTGCTTGATTAGTGATAAGGGAATGGGGATTACTGTTTAACGGGAAATTACCTAACCGGCTAACCTGCGGAAATTTATTTTTTTATTTATTAAGTACCTAATCTGTAGAAACATGTCAAATATAGATGCATTGTCGGTAATAAGGTTGTTGAGACAGCAGATCACCTCTTAATTCGTTTCCAAGTAACGGCTACTTAGGTTCTTATTTCTCCATTTTGGGATTTAATGAGCATTGCTTTGAAGGACCTTTTATTGTCTTTCAAATTAGTGGATTAAAGTGTGCAATGGGCTGCCACATGTTCTTTACTGAAATATTAATAAAGACAATAGAAGAAACTTTGAAGATGTAGCAATGGCATGTGCAATGTTGACACTTGTTACTCTTGGAAAGAGTTCCCTTTGAAAATTTTTGGGGAATGTAGGAGTTGAGCTTCATTTGTGGATTTTTTTTAAAAACCTAAAAATGTGATTTTGGTGTTACTAATGTTCTCCACGTGCATTGCTTGCACTAGGGCTTCACCCTTTTTCTTCCTCTAATAATTTATTCTTCTTTTTTTTTTTTTTTGTTCATAAAAATTTGTTTCAAGAGTTTAAGAAGTGTTGAGCTCTTATTTGAAGAATACCTATATATTTTTAATTTTAGTTAAATGTGTTAGGCTTAGAATTAATATCAAAATCACAAATTAGTGTAGGAACATGTAGGTATCAACATGAACAGTCATTTTACTCATGCATAATTGAGAGAAATACTTCTTATGTCAAGTGTGTTCTAAGAGGAGTAAATGAGCCATATAGCTAACTCGTTAATATCCTCTTATCTGTTGCTCTTTCTGGTTGCCACACTAATTTGTTAAATGATTATGTTCATCTATTTTCAAGTTCACTTCCCCTTCTCAGGGTAGCTAAGCTAATTGTTTGTCATTGTAACTGTGTGGAGTCCTTCGCAACATTGAGTTCTGTGTGACCATAAGCTTACTGGATTCTTCATTTTTCATTGAAACCTATTTTCTGATGTAGATGTAGTCCATTAAAAGTTCAAGAAAGCATATATAAAGAAAAGGCACATTTTGTACAACAGTTGGTTTCTAAGACAGCTCAGTTAGGACCTCTTACAGCTAATTTAGTTGTGTTTAGTCTTCTGTGATGCTTTTTCAGTTTAGCTTCTTATTTGTGTAATTTTATTTATGCTATATTAAGTTTCTTGGATTGAAGTGTATTTTATTAATTTATTTTTGTTTTGCTGGACACATGTTATAGACTTTATGAGTCAAATATTAGTCAAGTTACATTATTGGGCTTTTATTTCTGGATTTCAGTAGGTTCATGTTGGGTTTTACCTGTCAAAGTATCTGATTTGGAATTACGGAGTTTTTTTTCTATTAGAGTTATGAAAGCCTGCAAGCCTAAATAATACCCTTGTGATCCTTCAAATCTAAGAGAGTTCAATAAAGAGAATTTCCAGAAGTTTTGAAACCCTTTGGGATTGTATGATGATTCTAACCCGACATGTGATGGCTGCAATTTCTTCTTTATTTTTCTCTCTCGCTTTTTCTTACTGTTTTATTGGCCTGCAATCAGATCCTAATTCTCACTGATCCACCCTTTTAAATCCTACTTTGATAGGTCCAATCGTTTTCCTTCCTTAAAGATTAACCCTAACATCCCAAAACTGCCCTTTTTACTGTTCACATCCCAAAACAGCCCCCTGAATTTTGCATCTCCCTGCTTTTCTTTAAGTGCTAAAATTCATTTTTTCCCCCTTTGTTCAATGAATACAAACCTAAATTGGGGTTATCCGCTAAAAACTACGGTAGAGCGGTTTATGAATGTCTACGCGGTGGACTTGATTTTACCAAAGATGATCAGAACGTGAACTCCCAACCATTTATGCGTTGGAGAGACCGTTTCTTATTTTGTGCAGAAGCACTTTATAAAGCACAGGCTGAAAGAGGCGAAATCAAAGGGCATTACTTGAATGCTACTGCAGGTACATGCGAAGAAATGATGAAAAGGGTTGTATTTGCCAGAGAGTTGGGCGTTCCTATCGTAATGCATGACTACTTAACAGGGGGATTCACTGCCAATCAACCCTAATCCTTTCCCTTTATGTGTTTGCTATAGCACCGATCCCTTAAAGAACATTTGTCTAGGAATTTCAGCAACATTTTTCCTGAAGTTTGCAACCAAACACTTCTAAAACTTAGTTTAGCTTCAACCTCTTCCCGTTAATAAAACACTTCTAAAACTTAGTTAGGTTCAACCTCTTCCCATTAATAAAGCTTACAAACTTTCTTCCACATATTAAAATTCTAAATTTATAAGCTCCTTAAACCAATTCCACACAATTAATCTCAGACTGATCTGTAATTTGTTCGGCAATACTGCTACACACCAATTAGAGCATCAAAGCTCGTGTTAGGTGTTTCTCACTCATCCTCTTGGTAAAGTTTTGACACTTCACATGCCCCTGATAAATAACCTAAGAAATTTCAAGAATAGATTTTGTGCCTCTTACCTTTAAAGTTTCTTATGGTATAAAAATGTTGAAGTAGAACATAGCCTTTGAGAGCTAAACACTTAAACATGCCAGTCCAAAAGTTGAAAGGCTTCTATCTTTTTCGCTTTTACAATGCTCTGAATAATCCTATTGCAAAAGTTTTGATCAACCAACAATCTATGATTAATGTTTTCAGATTCAGCAAAAGCTTGCCTTTACCTATAATAGTAATTTAATTCATAATTTAAAGTTTGGCTCACTGGAGCACTGTAGTTTAACTCATAATTTAAAATATTGTAGTTTCCAATTTAATGCATATATCTTAAAGAAACAAAAATTCTTATGCAAAGGTTGTAGTTCTTGCCTTTCTACAACCTGACAAATTTTAGCTTTCCTCAGACACAGAGAAGGTCTAGCTTGCAATTTGGAAACCATGTTTTCTGTAATTTGGTGTTAAAGTTGACATTATGCTATCTATATCTATCTTATTATAGGCTAAGGCATATGATATGGGTTCAACAACTAGCAGTTCAGGATCTCCAGCAGATCAAGCTGAAATAAAGATGATGGAAGAACGAGCCTCTGCTTTAAGGAAGGTATTCTTTTGTACTTATGCTTTCTGGGTTTTGCATTGGCGTTATCTTGAGCATCCCGTTTCCAAGGGGCGGGATTGAGTAGGATGACTTATTTCCAGCTACCCAATAGAAAAGAGAGATATTTATGCATATATTCAGAGAGTGAGGTACCCTAGAACTGTCAACCTTTCAGAAATATCAGTCATTATTAGTATCAGTAATTTGAACCATGTCCTAAAGACTGAAGGGGGCTTTTCTATTTTTTTTCTATTTTTTTTTTTTTATATTTAATTTCTGTTTAATTTGGAAATTTCTAATAGATCTCTTACAGTTTTACTGATATTCTGTTTCTTGATTGTAGGAGCTTTCTCATAAGAACGAGTATCTTAAGCTTCTCATAGATCAGCTGCGAGATCTTATAACCGACATATCAACTTGGCAAAGTCCTTGTTCTGTCTAAAGCTGAGAGGAGATGCATTCGTCTTGAAATTTTCACTTTCAATGGAGACTTGAGTCCAAGAACCAGTATGACGTGATAGTACTTCATTTCAACATTTTTGGTCTGCGAAGTTGCAAAATCTATTCATTTAAGGTGTTCTTAAATTAAATCAGAGGGAGGTAGGTTAGATTTATGCAACAATACATTTGATAAAGATGGAAAATGCCGACAAATGGAGCATCTAAAAGTTTTTGAGTGTCCTAATATGTTAAACGTTATAGATGAAATGTTTGTTCAATGGTAATTTCTTGATAAATTTGCTATATGACTGACAAATGTTTTAACGTTGTGGTAAAGCCTCATATAGTACCCAAAATTTGTTTTCCTTCCTTCTTCTTCTTCTTCTTCATTTTTTTTTTTTGTAATGATATAGCGTTGTTTTCGTTTCTTAGGCACATTCTTGTTTGACCTTCTTGTGTATATATGAAACTTGTGTTGCTCTCTCTCTCTCTCTCTCTAACACACACAAACACACACTTGAAAAGTATTGAAAGCAACCAACTATATTGGGCAATAAATCTTCCCTTGTAATTGTTGCATTTTGTTATATTCCTTCACTAAAAACAGACATTCCTAAGGAGCATAAACTAGAGACATGGAGAGAATAGATGAACAAAAAGAGGAGGGAAAGGCCCTAAATGGATTTATTAGTTGTGGGTTGAGGATCTGGTAGTGAGAGATGACCTCATATCTACAATGGCAGACTCATCCGCACTCGACTGCCTCTTTGCTTGCTCTTATGAACCTGGACACCGAACCTCTCACATACTCATCAGCTTGCTTTACGCTCATTTTCTTGCTCATCTCATCCGGGAAGCTACTCAAGTAGTGGTCGCCATTAAGAACCGCGGCCAATTGGACTCGCTCTCTCTGCAACTCCGACAGCTCCCTGTCTTCATCTGCTTCTGTTTTTCTCAAGGATGCCACATCTGGTAGGACCTCTGCAATCAATTAACAGGACATATTCCTTAAAGCTTATTGCAATTAAGAGCTTATAATATCGAACCCTAAAAAACGAAATAAATTGACCAGACAATTTTTCGAGAAAGTTCCACAAATAACTGATTTCTTCATTCATCATATATATACCCATTACAACTGATTTGTATGTTACAGAAATCCTGAAAATGATGATTAATTCTTTATGTTTGTGCTCTTTGTTTTCCTGAATGAAGATTGTTCATACAATGTGCCTAGTCATTTTCTCTCTCTCCCCACTATTTCTAAGTTCAGTATGCTTTCTTTCCCAACTTGGAGTTTTCCAATCAAAACACAAATTCCAAAATAATCTTAGCAGCCAAAAAAATCTCAACTTTATTTTATTTTATTTTTTTTATTGCAATAGTCACGGGTAATCCAAAAAGGGTGTGTGCCTGTGAGTATCAACTAAGAAAAAAAATGATAATCCAAAAATGTACCTGGGCAATCGATTCTGAGAGATGATAATCCCCCCGACAACCTGCTCGAACGTGCCAGCTCATGTGTCTCTATGAGTTAAGAAGTTAGAGGAGAGGTTGAACATTTTCTTTATGGTAGCAGGGACTGAAGAGTGCTCAAACTCAGAATTTGGAGCAGGTCCCCCTGGATGGCTTATCACTACATTCACAGCAGAGAACAAGCAAGTATATATTGAAACATCAGAACAAGAAAAAGAAATATAAGAACATGTCTACTTCTGTACGAAAACTTAGATACATTTAGTAAAATCATCTCTCAATTACAACAACAATCAATGAATTAGAAAAGGACCAATAAGAACATATTATATTATACAAAATGATTCAAACTAAATCACTAAATTAACCACTAAATTCTCAAACGTGTAGTCCATCTAAAAAGGTGCAATTGAGTCGATCACAGTCGGTACGGATAAATAGAACTAGGGCTGCAAATTAACTGAGCCGAGCCTTAGGTTGCTCGGGCTCGTTTGTTTATAGTTTGGCTCGGGCTCGTGACGAGCTCAAAAAACTAAGCTCAGGCTGCTGTTAAAATGATCAGGCTCGGCTCATTTAAGAAAATAAATTGAATTTATAGTCAAAATTTGTCAAGCTCGCCAGCTCATTTAGTAAATTATTGTATATTTATCTTATACTTTCAAAAATTAAAGAATTTAATTAAAAAATAAAAATAAATGTAAACAAGCCCTATAACAAGCCTACAGGAGCCGAGCCCAACATTGCTCGAGATTGGTTGGTTTACTAAACGAGCGCTTAGAAATGGAGTTCGAGTTCGGTTCATTTGTTTAACAAACAAGCCCGAGCCGAGCCCTAAATAGAACTACTAGTACCATACACTCTCATGTCTCATGAACCAATTCTATATCAAACACTACCAACATTCATTGATCATTCAAATTGAAAAGTTCACAAAAATTCAAAATTAAACCTTGAGCTTACCAGTTCCTTTCTTGATCCAAGGAGAGACCATAATCGTCGGCACACGAACGCCAAGCCGGTCGAATTTGAAGAAATCTGGAGGAGGACCAGTGTTGCCATCTGGGTTGGGCACATTTTGATAAGGACCCACCATGCTCATCATAAGTAATGACCAAAAGGGTCTCATTCCATTGAGGGCTTGACCTCAATGTCTCATAAACCTCCTTCACTAGCCTCTGCCCATTAGCAACATCATGCGATGGGTGATCATCGTTTGCTGGTGCTCCCTTCAGATCAAAGTACCGCGGCTCGATCACGGTTAAGCAAGGCAAATCACCATTTCCAGCATCTTTCTTGAACTTCAAACCATAGGGATGAAACTTAAACACATACTTCAACTTCCTCAAGTTTCTATAAAACAAAGTTGAGGGTATGTTTTGAAAGTAGATACCAAAGTTCAATCCATTCTCATGGAGTGAATCGAAAATGGTCTTCTGTGGGTACCCTTCAGCCAATTGCTTCTTGACATGGCTTGTTGAGCCCTGAGAAGTTGCAGAGTACACAAACAGCCTGTTGGGTTGAGTTGGGCCAGGGATTGAAGAGAACCACCGATTGAAAACCGCGAATTCTCGAACCAATGTGGCGAAAACCGGCACATTCTCAGGCCTAAACCCTTTCATGACAGTCTCGGAGAGGTTTTGTGAGACTGAAAGTGCTTGTTCGACAAACCCATTCATGGAAGGAATTGGGCTAGAACTAGGACTAGAACCAAACACCTGTTGCTCAACAGCTTCGAATGAATGATCCGGATCAGGATCCACGTACTCTGCATCATCTGTGAAGCAGATTGAGTCTTTGTTCGGAGCTTTGGTTGAAACCGGGTTGCATTCTTTGCCAGTGACACCATTGATTGAAGGGTTGATGGATTCCTTCATCCACCCAATGATGTGATCGAAAGATCTGTTCTCCAGAACCAACACAACAATGGTTTTGATGGGTTGGTTCTGTTGTGGTTGTTGCTCAGAAAGTGTGAGAAAGAGCAAGAAAATGAAGGAAAATGGAAGTGGTCTGGGCTTGAACTTTTTCATACTTGATTGTGAAGAGAAGGGTGTTTGGCAAACTGGTTGGTTATCAAGCTTTGGCTTAGACTGTGAACATAACAATTATATATATCAATATATGGGTGTTATATATAGATATATATAAGGGATTATTACATATAAGGGATTATTACATATATGGGTGTTATATATAGATATATATAAGGGATTATTACATATAAATGGGGTTAGGGCACCATATTTACTTAGAGGCTGAGTTAAAGTCCCATAGTTTTCCTAAAATGAGTTTGACCCAAAAGTTGAGGTGACACATGAATTTTTACTGTTTAAAACTTGTGGTGCCTAAAATACCCTTCCCCTTTTTTTCTGTGTTAGCTAAAATGCCCTTTCTCCATATTTTAATATATTAACCTAATTGCAGCCCTAGCATTCGTTCAGTGCAGCCCTCTCTCTCTCTCTGCCTCTGTAAAATCTAAAAGAGAAGAAAGCTTCTCAAAAACCCTAGTTGCTTCTTTACTATTGGTGATTCCACCCATCCCCTAGCTAGGAACTGTAACAGCGGAACAACCAAGACTGCTCGATCCTTGGCCGCATCAGTCGAATCGAGAGGGGGTACAGGTACGCCAGTGCTTTTCTTTGGCTATCCCAGCTATCGAGCTGGACTAATTGACACTGCTTCACTCCCTGGTCTTTCTTTCTCTCCGAAGGCTTCAACGAGAAAAGAGGGGTTAACCTTGGCCCGGAGAAAGTCAGGCTAGCAACGCCTAAATAAGATGCCATCTCTCTCCCCGTCTCTGTAATTCAGCCGTAGCGGCATCCCCACTTCTCAAGTTCAGATTTCTACTATTCTTCTAACTCTCAACTTATTTCCTTCATGGCCTCCCTTCAGGTTCGTCTCTCTCTCTCTCCCACACACACACACAAACATATTGTTCTCAATCTCACTGCATAACTAGCTCTTACGATTTTAATTTTTTGTTTAATTTAAAGTAACTGTTATGCTTTTATTATTACAATAAGCTTATGTAAACTCATTTTGCTGTTGATGGTACTATTCATGCATCATTAAGAATTTATTGGCAAAAGAAGGACAATTGAGAATCAATTTAGTGCTATCTAAAACGTAATGGAATTATTTGTTCCCATGGAGTCCAAATGTCCCCATTCCTTTCCATGATTATATAGTATTGTCATTCTCATCATTTTATCAGTTAAAATAAAATTCCCATATTAGGAAACAAGAATAAAAGATGCATATTTCATCATTAATAAAGCATGCATAGACTTGAAACTTGAATGGCAACCAGTTTAGATGGAGGCCAAACACAAGTTCATGGTGATATATGTGTGTGTGTGTGTGTGTGTGTGCATATATGAAATTTCAATGTCAATTTATAATTCCCTTGACAAAACCCCACCTTTAATAGTGCATGACCTGTGATATGTGAACACAGAAGTGTTGCCTTCTGACATGAACAGAAGGTGCTAAACACACATCACCATACACAAAAAAGGTGAATCTTGTTATATTTGAATATCCTATCCTTGTTGTAGAGACTTAAGTAGTGAAGAAAGTATAAAATAATAATAATAAAAAAAGTGTCACTCACTTCTTATTTTGCATTATATAGTATGAGTGAAATCCAGTATAGAGTCAACAAGTGTTTGACATAGTAATTCTCAATTGGAAGAAGTTTCCTACTTCTACAAATAATAGTATTAACATATCCACTATGGAAATTCTCCAAGAAAGATATAAAAGGTCTAGGGGGAAAAAATTATGAATCAATGCAGAATGGAGCTCAGGTTCTAAAGAATTATACTTAAGTCATTCACTTAAGAGAAACGGAGTCTATAGTCTAAAATAAAGAGAGTACAGTAAGGAAACTGGGAATTTTATATAGTTAAGTTGCACATCAAACCTTCCAATTAGGGGGGCAAACTTTGTCAATGACAAGCACATGATTGTCCCACTTCTCTACAACTGCAACCAAAAGTTTCCTTGTGAATCTGCAATAAAGAACAGAAACACAGTTAGCTATGACTTGCTTAGGCAACAATAATAGAATTAAATTAAGATTATTTAACTTAAATAATCAAGGGGCTAACTGCAAGATTAGTTTACTGTACACCAATTTTAGAGGAGCTGAAAGGACTTCTTCTTCTGAGATACAAAAAACAAAGAATAAATTCATTTCATTAGAAAGAATTTTTATTGGAAAAGGGAGATGAAATATGAACAATGATGAAAAGAATTAGATTTCAGTTTTTGTGGTTGCAAATTATAACACATATGAATACCAAGTAGCATAACAGAAGAGTAATAAATTCTTATAGAAGGAATGTTAAAAAACATAGAGAGCCAACAAATGATTAATTCATTTTTGCCTCAAAACACGGTTCTTCTACCACATTGAATATCATGTCTCACCAATCCAAACCTCCACACCTCCTACATTGACTAAAGCTACTACAATTCCAGAATATTCGCCTAGGTCATCTGTAGTTCATTCTGAACTACACAAATATTTTTAGATTATAATGGAATCGGTGATATTTGAGAAAAAGTCTAACGAAAATGTCCAAATTACGTACACAAATAAATATAAATGACCAAAATATACACATTGCCTCACTCAAGCAATGTTACTGTCGGTCCCTAATGTCCTAGTCATGTCACCTAACCTACCTTGCCTAATAATAAGTTTATCAATCGACCAGAACGCATGAGTGCAGGATCCAAAATATCAGCTGTATTTGTTACCTGCAATTCATGAGATTATGAAATACTGAATTACTAACTCAGATAATAATTTAAGTTAACTGAAATTTTATTAGTGAAGTAGCTATTTGTTGGTGGCATCTGAAGCATGGTTCATAGACACGGGCACAGATGAGTCTGCTATGACTCAGCCGGTGAGGAAAACTATAATCTGAAGACACTCAAAATGTAGAAACCATAGCCCAGAATTATATCTGACCCTTCAACAAAGAAAGAAGTTCTGAAGATACAATGTCCATGCCAAAAATATGGGGACCAAATAAAACTCTGCTAATTATTGAATTCAAAACCTTCTAAATGCTCACAATTGCCTGAACGAGTGACCAGAAACTAAAAGTGTGTTTAATTAAAGGCAAAGATAAATACATTTATCCGTTCATCACTACTAAATCCATCAAGCTGATTGAGTAACTCTAACATTGTCCGTTGGACCTCCCTATTCCTACTGACTTCACTGCATTGAAAGAAACAATTTACAATCAATTAGTCACATTATGACGTAACTTCTTAAGTATTCAATCCAAAATCCATTACACCAAGATTCAGAAAATTGTCAAGGCAGATTAGAAAATTACACATAAAATAGAGATATGGCATACCTGTCAAACCGCTTTGTGCCTATAACATCAATTCATCTATAAAAATAATGCAAGGAGATTTCTCCTTCGTAAGCTGAAAAACATCACGAACAAGTTTTGCTCCATCCCCAATGAACATCTATGAGCAGTACAAGTATGATATACTACTTCAATTTGTAAAAAATAAATCCTAATAAACACTTAAATAAATCAACCAAGAGATATTCTTTGTTATGGATGTCAAAAAAGTATAGGAAATTTATTTTTATAATTCTGAATAATATTCTTGTCAATTTTACCAATTGGAAAAGTGAGTTCCATATAACTACTCAAGTCATTTACACAAATGTCATCTCCTTAGTTTAAGACCAGATACACTTTAGCAGAATTTTTTTGTTTACGAGTCCAAACGTCTCTTAAGATCCAAATCAAAAGAGTAAATTTCCATTATACAAACAACAAACAGAAACAAGAAACAATATATCCATTTCCTGATGTACCAAAAAAGATAAAAAGGGAAAGATCAAGTATAGGAACACTTGATGCAAATTCATTAAAAGCAATCAAAATCCTAAACTAAAAAAAAAACATATGTTTCGAAAACTGAATTGACAGGCTTTTAAGGAAGGGAAAACAAAAGTCTTTGGAATCTCCAAAGTTAAATATGATAGTTATTATTACATATAAATGGGGTTAGGGCACCATATTTACTAAGAGGCTGAGTCAAAGTCCCATAATTTGCCTAAAATGATTTTGAGCCAAAAGCTGAGGTGGCACAAGGATTTCAGCAAACTCAATAAGAAGATTATGTTCCAACCACATAACTTACAACTTCAAAGACAACAAGAGGTGGACAAAAGAAAGGATGCCAAAAACTTCAAAGACAACATAAAAATTAAAAACTTTAATTTGTCCACTAATGGAAAAATAGTATGTGTGTGTGTGTGTCTACAAGAAGTGGACAAAAAAAATGATGCCAAAAACTTCAAAGACAACATAAAGATCAAAAACTTTAATTTGTCCACTAATGGAAAAATACTCTGTGTGTGTGTGTGTGTGTGGATCAAAAACTTTAATTTGTCCACTAATGAAAAAATAATGTGTGCGCGCGCGTGCGTGTGGGTGGGTGTGTGTATACGTGCGTGCATGTGTGTGTGTGTGTGAAATCAGAAACTTTCTAACAATGCAGCGACTGTCAAATAAGACAGATAGTTTTAGCAATTATCTATAATGCAGCGACTGTCAGATAAGACAGATAGTTTTAACAATTATCTAGAAATAAGTAAACCTTTGAGTCAATAGTCTTTTCGCTCTTACAAGATGTTTGGCTTCCAAAACATGATTCATATGTCAATGTTGACTTATTTGGTGTTCAATATGTCTAACAATCAAACCAATATCCTGCCCATTGGGTTTATAAGCCCAATATTATGGAAGCTACTATGGATAAGACTAGGGCTACTCATAAATGCAACCCAATCTTTGATTAATAGCTGTAGTCGGGGTTTCCTTTGTGGTTTTATGGTCTAGTAGTCTCTAAATTTTCCCAATATTGCAAAACTAAGATTGTTTCTCGAATGTTGAAGCAAATTGTTGGATACTTCTTCTCATATATTTGCATTCTCCCCTTATTTTTTGCTATCATGCTTATATGAACTGAAAAATTCATGATTGGCATTATGCTTGAGACTTGGGCTTCTCCTCATTGTTGTTAAAGGAGTTCTGCCTCTACCTCTCACCTTTTCGCATTATGAAAACTGGTTACTCTCTCAAAATTGGATACATGATCTTTAGTGATAGGATTATGGGTCACACCTAAACTTTATGTATTTGTTGTGGGAAAAAAAAAATGTACAACCTGTTCTCAGATGCTGTGTTTTTGGAACTTTGGATTTTTTTCTGTAATAATATTTTGGAAAATTTAATTAGTTGATGTATCTTATAGAATGTCTATAGCAATGTAAGAAACAAGTAAATCAGCTCTGCATACTAATTACCTAAAATAATATTACAAACACAAACATATTTATAATGATGTTACAATTGGTGTTACTTTTTTTGTTCTTCATTTCTTGTGGAAGATGTTTCCATCTTTAGTTAATTGATGTTCTAATGGTTAGTATCCAAGATTGTAGCGGAATTGAAATAGTGACTTGGTGCTGTGATTATGTTTGATAGTGGTTATTTATAGCCATCGACCTTTTGTCTTAGGATTACTTTTATGGTCATCAATTTTACTTTTCCAATTATTAGTGGTGAGAAGCTCTTACTATTCTCCTTCCAATTCTGAATCTAGGTTGGATTCCACCAAAGGATCATATATCAAGGACTGGGCTAAATGGGAGAATCAATTACGAGAGGTTCTATTTGGCAATGCTTAATATCTTAATTCTATATAGGTTAATATATAGCATTTGTGTTTAATAGCTCCATATCGCCTTCAATTTACCTTACGTATTAGATCAGTAGTTTGATTTTATGTGCACTCACCTGACCATCGTCAAAATCCACTTAAGTTAATATCATTTTTATGTGGCGCTTATAACACCTATGTTAAATGGACTCTTCAAAACTAGTGAAGCACCCATGTCGGACACACGATACTCGGACATGGGTATGGGATATGTGTCCGACACTTTTTGTTGGACATGCACTTGAAAAGCATATCTACTAATTCAATTTTATTTTATTATTACCTTTAAAATGAGTGAATGGACACAATGTTGCATGAAAACATCTTCAAAAAAAAAAAATTAGTATACAACATGAATATTTAGCTGTGTCCACTATTTAGATATTTGACACGTCTAATGCGTGGATACATATCCATACCCAACACAGGTATCTAGGTCCATTTAACATAGTGTAACATGTTTACACACCTACAAACTATTATTTAAGTATTTCAGTTCCTTGCCTCCTTTCTGCCAAAGCGAGAAATGGAGGAAATGTCTTTTTGGTAATTGGAGTTCTTGTAACTGGCTTGTGGTGATCAACATAGCTTCTGCACAATATTTATCTTTCCAGGTTCCGTTTGAGTTTGCTGTTAAACAAGTGTTGGAACAACGAAGAACTATTGCAAAGGTGGTTATTTAGTGACAAGTGCTGAGAAAAGGAAATTGGGGACCATTGTTTTTGCTGCTGTCAGCCTTTCTGTCAGTGAAATCCAAAGTCTTCTCAATAAGGTGAGTAAATATATAGTTTCTGTAACACTAGATTTCTATTTATTTACACTTATATGTATTCACGCATGAAGTCCATTTCCATATCCTATACTCATGAAAAGAAATTACCTGGTTTAATGTATAGGTGGACGTTGACAAGTTACGTGCAATTATTGCTTCAAATTTGCTTTTAGATGACAATAACAAAATGAAGAATTTTGTAAAGAACGAAGCACTTTATACATGTGGTTAAGCACGTTGATTTCAAGTAAGCTTCCATCAGCTTACTTGTGGTTAGTAATTTATTTATTTATTTTTATTTTGATGATTCTAACATCACCTCCATCAGCCAACAAGGTACCATTTACCTCAAGTAACCTCACTATCTCCATCTTAATCCATCAAGGCGTATAAGATGTAATTTCCTCGACTTTCTAATATAATTTTTTGTTGTACAACAATTTCTTAGTATAATTTAGTTGTTAGTACTATAGCTCAATATTCATTTGCATTTTTCCATGTGATATATTTGTCAAGAGCTCCAATGGAAATATTCAACCTCTTAAGTAAACTCAAAATTATTATGTAATTGTTCAAACATGTTTTAAAAGCAGTACTGCTAAGTTGGATAATGAGGTTAATTGCAAGGTGTTGGGCAAATTATAAATTCTTTTTTAATTTTGATGATTCTTTTTAAAATTATTATTATTATTCAAAGTTTCAAATTGTCTGTTTTTATATTGCTTTTGTTCCTTATTATTATTATACAATGCCTTAATACTTTAATTTTTATTGCATGTGACAGTTACAGAGATAAAATGGTTATTTGTTCCAACTACACAGAGACAGAAAGAATGCATATCCATCAAATACACAAACAAGAGGACTCTCACTAGGACCACACAAAGGATAAGGGCAACAAATTGGTTTACCACAGAACAAGGAAATACATACCTACATTTGCCCAATTGAAAGCTAGAGGAAGTGGGATAGGAGGATGGTTGAATTTTCTAAAAAGTACTTGAAATGATGTGGGATATGGGACATTTGTAATGTTAAATAGTGTCAATTTTTTTTGCATATATTTTGCAATCTGTTGGTGTTAGCTATTTTTTAAGTTTTAAAGAAGAGTAGCTTTGCAACTTTTGATTGTGGATTAGGTTGGTATGTTTTTGCAACTATTGTATGGCTTATTATACTGGTATCTACCTTAGATAGAATCAAATGAAGTTGTTCTTTTGGGTTTTTATGAATTAGTATTATATGGCTTATTATATTAGGGTCTCACTGAATTTTCTTTCACTATTATATTAATATACTAATTTCAAATTTGATCGAGTTTAAAATTGAAGAAGTTTAATGAATGAAAAATTGGCCTGTTGTTTCCTTAGTTTCATGTTGTCGATAAATGGATAATTTAATCTCAATAGTTGTCAAAGAAATAGCACACTATCTCAATAAACATATATATGTAATGTGATTAAGTTGCATATTACATCCATAAACAGCTCCATTAGCACCATGAATAACACAAAATATTCTCCAAGCTAGCTAAGTGAGTGCTTAGAAAACGTGGTACCTTGACGCCAAACAGTAGTACCTTTAGTTCAAAAACGTGGTACCTTTGGGATAAAATTGGTACCTTGACGCTAAGAACTTATTTTTGCAATTGAGAATGGTATTACACTCCACACCGCTAATTAAATTGCACATTACATCCATAAACAGCTGCATTAGCACCATGAATATGTGTTTAGAGAAAACGTGGTATCTTGATGCTAAAAAGTGGTACCTTCAGTTCAAAAACGTGGTACCTTTGGGAAAAAAGTGGTACCTTCGCAAAAGGGACTTATTTTTGCAATTGAAAATAGTATTACACCCCACACCGCTAATTAAATTGCACATTACATCCATAAACAGCTGCATTAGCACCATGAATAAGTGTTTAGAGAAAACATGGTACCTTGATGCCAAAAAGTGGTACATTCAGTTCAAAAACGTGGTACCTTTGGGAAAAAAAGTAGTACCTTCGCAAAATGGATTTATTTTTGCAATTGAAATGGTATTACACGCCACACCGATAATTAAGTTGCACATTACATCCATAAACAACTGCATTAGCACCATGAATAAGTGTTTAGAAAACGTGGTACCTTGACGCCAAAAATTGGTACATTCAGTTCAAAAACGTGGTACCTTTGGGAAAAAAGTAGTTCCTTCGCAAAAGGGATTTATTTTTGCAATTGAAAATGGTATTACACCCCACACCACTAATTAAGTTGCACGTTACATCCATAAACAGCTCCATTAGCACCATGAATAAGTGTTTAGAGAAAACGTGGTACCTTGACGCTAAAAAGTGGTACCTTCAGTTCGAAAATATGGTACCTTTGGGAAAAAAGTGGTACATTCGCAAAAAGGACTTATTTTTGCAATTGAAAATGGTATTACACCCCACACCGCCAATTAAGTTGCACATTAAATCCATAAACAGCTCCATTAGCACCATGAATAAGTGTTTAAAGAAAACGTGGTACCTTGACGCCAAAAAGTGGTACCTTCAGTTCAAAAACGTGGTACCTTTGAGAAAAAAGTGGTACCTTCGCAAAATGGACTTATTTTTGCAATTGAAAATGGTATTACACCCTACACCGCTAATTAAGTTGCGCATTACATCCATAAACAGCTCCATTAGCGCCATGAATAAGTGTTTAGAGAAAACGTGGTACCTTGACGCTAAAAAGTGGTACCTTCAGTTCAAAAACGTGGTACCTTTGGGAAAAAAGTGATACCTTTGCAAAAGGGACTTATTTTTGCAATTGAAAATGGTATTACACCCCACACCGCTAATTAAGTTGCACATTACATCCATAAACAGCTCCATTAGCACCATGAATAAGTGTTTAGAGAAAATGTGGTACCTTGACGCCAAAAAGTGGTACCTTCAGTTCAAAAATGTGGTACCTTTGGGAAAAAAGTGGTATCTTTGCAAAAGGGACTTATATTTGCAATTGAAAATGGTATTACACCCCACACCGCTAATTAAGTTGCATATTACATCCATAAACAGCTCCATTAGCACCATGAATAAGTGTTTAGAGAAAACGTGGTACTTTGACGCCAAAAAGTGGTACCTTCAGTTCAAAAACATGGTACCTTTGGGATAAAAGTGGTACCTTTGCAAAAGGGACTTATTTTTGCAATTGAAAATAGTATTACACCCCACACCGCTAATTAAGTTGCACATTACATCCATAAATAGCTCCATTAGCGCCATAAATAAGTGTTTAGAGAAAACGTGATACCTTGATGCCAAAAAGTGGTACCTTCAGTTCAAAAGTATGGTACCTTTGGGAAAAAAGTGGTACCTTTGCAAAAGAGACTTATTTTTGCAATTGAAAATGGTATTATACCCCACATCGCTAATTAAGTTGCACATTACATCAATAAATAGCTCCATTAGCGCCATGAATAAGTGTTTAGAGAAAACATGGTACCTTGACGCCAAAAAGTAGTACCTTCAGTTCAAAAACGTGGTACCTTTGGGAAAAAAAGTGGTACATTTGCAAAAGGGACTTATTTTTGTAATTGAAAATGGTATTACACTCCACACTGCTAATTAAATTGTACATTACATCCATAAACAGCTCTATTAGCACCATGAATAACACAAAATATTTTTCAACTTAGCTAAGCGAGTGTTTAGAAAATCCCGCAATGCGTAGACTCCAAAAAAGGGACTTATTTTTGCAATCGAAAAAAAAAAAATTATACACCACACCTATAATTAAGTTGCAAATGACATCCATAAATAGCTCCATTAGGGCCATAAATAATACAAAATATTCTCCATGCTAGCTACGCGAGTATTTAGAAAACATGTGTAATACCCCTAGTTTTCAAAAGGATAGGATTGAAAATTTAATTTAATTTTTCATTGATTAATTGATTTAGTTATGTGACTTAGCTGTTTTGTTTTTCTTAAGTGATTAATTGTGGTTGCTTAATTGATTTAATTAATATTTGTGTGTATTTAATTTACATGTTTATTGAGATTGTTTTAATGATATATTACTTGATTAATTTTTAATACGGATTTAATTGTTTAATTTAATTAATGTACTGTATTTTCTTTATGGAAACTTAGGGTTTTATTTTACACGGATGTCGCCGATATAATAGGGAATGAATGGTAGGGTTTTTGTTTTCCTATTTGTAAACGAATTAAAGTTAGGTTAAGTTTTTTGTTCTATAAATATATAGTTTAATGTGGGTTTAGGGTTTTATAAAAGTACACAAAGTTCTTCTCACGTACCTAAGAAACAGAGAGAAAATACAGAGTGCAATAGTGAGGAATTGTAGGAAAACAGAGAGTAGACCTTTGAGGATTTATAGTGAGGTTCAAGGGGAAGAACGGGGTTGCTTCTGGATTGAACCAAGAGCGCCGGAGGTGTAGAACAGTAGTCGACAACGTTGACGGAGGACTCAGAGACGGTGGTTTACAGTTTCAAACTCTGAAATTGCAGGCAAGTCTCTGTTCTACTCTTTCCCTTTAATTCGTGTTCTGTGCATGCCTGGTTAGACTTCAGGGTTTTAATAAAAGATAAAACGGATTAACACAAACATAATAACATGTTTTCCATGCAGATATGAATTTATTTGATCTCAGTGAGTAAACTGTTTTGCATACTGGTTGATTTTCTGCTATCTGTGTCTTTTACGTTTAAGCCTGTTTTATTGAGATTAGTAATATGATTGGATGCCTTACAATTATTCTGGGAATGAGTTTAATCCCTAGAACAAGATTTTAAAACAGTTTTGAGTTTTACTAAATAAATCTGTTGTAAGTTGTCTAAAGTTGTTATCAGAAATTATGTAATCGTTGCTGTAAGACTTGTGTCTAGTTCAGATCGTGGTTGCATATCAGTGGGTTAAGATTACCCTAGAACTAAGATTGAACCCTAGAACAACCATTAAGAACCTTACAGAGGTCTGGAAAACACCGCAGTCGAAGAAGAAGCAGTAGAACGGACGACGGCAACTAAGGGGAGAAGAGCAGGCTCCAAGAAGAGGAGGAGCCGGCTCTTTCTACCTTAGAGCCGGCTCCAAAGGAAGGTGGAGCCGGCTCTAGCATCTAGGAGCCAGCTCCTAGATTAGTTGAGCAGGCTCTTTTGAAAAAATAGAGCAGGCTCTTTGTTTGAATGAGCTTGCTCTCAATTGAACGCACCAAATTTTGTTTCTGTGCACTGTTTGGTCTGTATAAGTTCTTGGAACTTTGTTTAGGCTGTTTTAAATTGTTGTTGGATCTGGAATAAACCTGTTATACTATGGAAAATATTAATCCATGATTGGGTTAAGGATTGGAGCAAATTAAATTTAAGGAAAAAAATCGGGTGTTGCTAACTGTTTGAATATTCAAACCATTTACTGGAACTTGGAATTTTTCTGGCATATATAATTTATGGTTTCATTATATCTAAACAGAAGTATAAGAATAGTAAGTGCTTGAAACCATCTTTTCTTGATTTGGAGTTAATTGATATATTTCTTTTATAAATTCTGTTCAATATAAGGAGTTTATGGAGGATTGGATTACTACGCCTTGTATTAGCATTTTAAATGGTTAAAATGTGATGGTTGGATTCTGTAGTAATTCCTATTGACTTGTTATAGGTATTAAGTGATAATTATGCATATAATGGATTATGGTTGATTAGTATCTAATACTGTTTTCGTCAACTAGGTTAGCTAGAGGGGCTAATTGTACAGTCTTTTCATATATATGAAGAACTGTAATGAGATATCTAAATGTTATATTGGATGCATAAATTGGTTGTATACGTGCTAAACTATATTTATGCTTATTCTGGGATGTGGTTGATAAATAATTATATTGTGTTGATAACGACGTGAACTGGAGGATTGTATGTACCGGTATGGGACGGTGACATACTAGGTATGGATTAGTTCAAACACTAAATGCTACCTAATTTGAAAAGAGTTGAATTAACCATAAAAAGGTTAAGTCCCACTTCTATGGATGTATATGAACCGGTATGGGACGGTGTCATATTAGGGATGGCTTACTTCAAAACACTAAGACCTACCTATATTGGGAATGGATTAGTTCAAAACACTAAGTCTGACCCAATTTGGATTTAAGTATGGATTAACCATAAAGGTTAAGTCCATCACCTACATGTGTTGTATCAATTGTGAATTGAATGATCTACTATGGTTTCAGGATGGATTGGTTATACATATATCAAACCACTACACAGATGGATGGTATATTGTATTAGGAGGAGTTCGGACTTTATATATATATTATATGTGCCATGGTATGAGCTTGAGTTTCAGGACCATGGTTAGGGCACGTATATCGCCTAGGATGGATAACTAGACATAGGTGTTGTCCCCTGGTAGGTCTAGGTACTCATGCCCATCTTAGAGTGCGTATTTGCATGTTACCTTCTATTCAGGCTGAGACAGACCTACTGGACTAGCGAGCGTCCTATAGCGTGTACTATATATACGTATATGGATTACTCTAGATATTGTTGAGTCTTTCTAGGATGTATCTGCGTATCGGATTACTATTTGGATCGTAGTAGATCAGGACTTGCATATGGGCCTGACCCACTCTATTATTTTTCAGGTGTTCGACAGTACCAGTCTTAGAGCTGGATCATGTTGATGCAGATACAGACACTCACTCTTCCGGTTACATAGGATTTCCTTTCTATTTTAAATTTTGGATTTTAATTCTGTAAATTTATTCAAGGATTTGGGATTAGGGGTCCACTAGGTGGATTCCCGAGTTGTACGGTTTTAAATCATATTAATTTATTTATTTCAAGTTTGAGGATTCTTATGTTAGATTTCTTTCAGCGTATTATTAATTTGTATTTAATTCAGTTTTATTTCTGCTTGTTTACATATTAATTGTTTGGTATCTCTCGGATCTGTGCTCGGACTTGATCACCCGTGGCTCTAGAGTCGATGGGCATCACAACATGGTACCTGGACGCCAAAAAGTGGTACCTTTAGTTCAAAAACGTGGTACTTTTGGAAAAAAAGTGGTACCTTCGCAAAATGGACTTATTTTTACAATTGAAAATGGTATTACACCCCACACCGCTAATTAAGTTGCACATTACATCCATAAATAAATCCATTAGTGCCATAAAGAGTACAAACTTTATTCCAATCTAGCTAACTTGAGGGAATGAATAGTACAAAATATACTCCAACATCACTTGAAATATTGTTTCTTTGCTAATTTATTTATTTATTTTTATTCTACAAGATATCCTAAAAACAATTATTCTCTACCTGATAGGTAAAAAAGCTGCTTTTAAGCCAGTTCCATTATGGAATAGTACTTTGCAAAAAGTTCTCCTTACCTGATTAATGTCCTTAGTTCTTCAAAGTTTTTCTCCCGGAACGGAGCTCTCAACGACTGCAACTTCCACCAGCGTTCCTTAAGTAATTTGATAGAGTTTTACCTTCTAAGTCTATAATTAGGAGTTATGCAAGCAAATCGTGGCGGGTTGAAGTGAGAGAGGTTAACAACACAAAATATTTTTACAAGGGTTGGCATGAATTTATGGAAGACAATTCACTAGAGTTCGAAAATTTCCTAGTATCTTATTATATATAGTGAGGAGATTTCCTAGTATTTTATTATATATGAAGGAAGAACATTTGTTGGTTGAAGACAATGGCAAGCTAGTAAATTCCTATACGTTGGAGGGGTCTCATGGCCTCACGAAGTCGTGAGGAGTTAAAAATGGAATAGTTTCAAATATGATGAGTTAAAAATGGAATAGCTTATAATGCTATAATGAATAGAAGCCAAATAATAGGAAAATAAATACAGGGTACATTTATAGAAACATAATCAAAACATTTATTGAAGGAAAAATAAATACACACTTGAACACATTGAAAAATAAATACACACCAAATCTCGATGGAGGGGATGACGATTATATGCCAGGTTAGTGTTACATAAAAAAATGAACCATCGATATGAGGAGTTAAAAATGGAATAGTTTTGAGAATGATTGAGAATGTAAAACAACTAAATTCAATCCACGCATCTCTTAACGAGTACTTTTGCTCTATATACTTTCGGTCCATACATCAACAACTGAGATTAACTAGTGCTAATGTTATGGTTTTGTGCATATGCCATATGTCTATTTATAGAGTCCAATTCATAGACATGTGAATGAATTTTACCCATATCATGATTTAACAAAAGGGACTTACACATCTCTCTCTTTGGCATGATAGGGGTGTCTTCATAATAGTTCTCGTGTTTATACACCTAGCACCACTATTTTTAACTTTAGCCATGTGATGATAAGATGAGAAAGTGGGTTGGTTTTGTGTATCTACAAGAGCTGATTTTTTCAGTGAGAATCCTATTTTGTGACTAGCCATGTGATTGAACAAAAAGCCAAATGTTGTAAAACAGCCTTAGACCATGGCAGATAAAGAGGTATGGTCACATCATCAAGAAAAAGCCTAAGTGTTTGAAAAAGTTATAAATAATGGCATTGTTGTCATGAGGTAGAGTATTGGCATCCTTATTTGTAAAAGCAATTTACTCATCTAATGTTTTTATTTTAACAAAACTATTATAATGTTAATTTCTATTTTAAATAGATTTCTAAGTGCACTTTGATTATGTAGCATCTTTATTTTTTCTCATATTTAATCAAAGCTATTAAAAAATCTATATGTCAGATATTGCAGGAATGAGAGCATTTCCATTGCAAAGAAAATGCATAAGGATCCAACTGAAGTTATTCAAGCCATCACTAATAATCCAGACTTATAAGTTGATTCAGAGTTATCAGATTATTCAGATCCAGGGGATGATGACTTTGTGATTCCACCTCCCCGTTATTGCTCAAAAAAACTTAAAAAAACTTAGTAGTTGAGTTTAATTTTATGCAGTATTTATATGAAATGTATGAATATTTACTAATTTTTTGCAATATTTTTATGAATTCCACTTCCCCGTTATTGCTAAAAAAAACTTAGTACTTGAGATTTACTAGTGCTAATGTTATGGTTTTGTGCATATGCCATATGTCTACTTACAAAGCCCAATTCATAGACATGTGAATGAATTTTACCCATGTGATAATTTGACAAAAGGGATTTACACCTCTCTCTCTCTTTGGCATTATAGGGGTGTCTTGCATAATAGTTCACGTGTTTATGCACTTAGCACCACTATTTTTAACTTTAGCCATATGATGATAAGATGAGAAAGTGGGTTAGTTTTGTGTATCTACAAGAGCTAATTTTTTCAGTAAGAGTCCTATTCTGTGACTAGCCATGTGATTGAACAAAAAGCCAAATAATGTAAAACAGCCTTAGACCATGGCAGATAAAGAGGTATGGTCACATCATCAAGAAAAAGCCTTAGTGTTTGAAAAAGTTATAAATAGTGGCATTGTTGTCATGAGGCAGAGTATTGGCATCCCTATTTGTAAGTGCAATTTACTCATCTAATGTTTTTATTTTAACAAAACTATTGTAATGTTAATTTCTTTTTTAAATAGATTTCCTTCTATAAATTATTTATATCATTTGGATAATCTTTAAATTATTTCAACCATCACTTTTTCAAGTTGTGCATAAATGGTGTCTACCTATCACTACAAAAAAAAATTCATTCTACAATTAAAAAATTCATCATTTACTAATATTCCAAAACAATTTACCATTCATCAATGTTCCAAAACAGGAACTAAATCCATTTGTCAAGAATATCATCAATTTCCTAGCACTTCTATTTAGCAAATTTATAAACCTTCTAGCACTTGAGTTTAAGTCTGCACTTGTCAAAAAACCACCTCATTGTCCATGCTACAAAATCCTAGCAAGTAACTGCATCACACAAGTCTCAAATTCAGTATGCTAATCACAAAAGGGAAAGAACAAGATTGTCATTTATGAATCAAATAGATATCATCATCATTGACAAACAAAATGTAGTGAAGAAACTACTACCAAAAAGTACGAACAAAATAACATACATAAATAAACAAAATCAAGACAAGAGAGACCAATTAATTTGGGCATTTGGCAACTTAATTCCGCCTACTCCTGATAAACAATACTGCTTTCCCATACAATTAATAATCAAACCCTAAATTGGGTAATGGAGGTCTAAATCCCCGTGACCCGTTTTGTATTTTCATGTAAATTTTGGTATACACCTAGAGAGACTAATTAATTATATTGGATTCTCAACTACAGGTATAATTTAACTTGATTATCAGTGAACAAGATATGCAAGCAGTAATAGACTAAATAGTAAAGGGAACCAAGATCCAATATGGGATATTTTCAGCAAAGGGTAAGAAAACAGGATCATAAAAGAACTGGACAAAGAAACTGCAACTATATTTCAAGATCAACAAGTTAAACATCACCTTTTGAGCCTTTAATTTCTTTCATAACCCTACTTCGGGATCACTCCTACACCAACACAGTTTTTTTTTTTTAGTATTTTCTTCAACAGTATCCTAAAGCCATCATCCATACCAAGACAGTTTTTGGTTTTTTTTAATTTTCTAATACAGTTGTCAAATTAAATTAAATTTAAAACAACGAACCGACATTTTTTTGTGGTCCAAAACAAAATCCTCTCTCATTAATTGAGGTCACATAATTCTGAAGTTCTAGCTTGTCTACTGTCTTTGATGAATGAAACAATTCTAGGAAGAGAATATTTGGTTTCTCGCTACAAAATAGGTCAACTTCTTATAATAAGCTATGAAATCAAGTGATTCCTATCAATTGTCCATTCCACAACTGGTTTTAGGAAAACACTAACCCCACCATAAGCGTGACTCATCCTCCTATTCCAACCACCTAGTAATGAGATGGTGTCTAGACATTTATAATTGATAGCTACTCACAATTGATCACATCAATCAATAGCAATGCACTAGATGAAGCAAGACTAGGCTCAAATGCTTGCACAATAATAGAAGAGACGACATATCAAAACGTATTATGCTCTATAAGTAATTATAACCCTTATACCTAGGGCTGTAACTTGGGCTGGCTAACCCAGCCCAACCTAAGCCCAACTTAGAAATTTTAAAATTGAGGCTTTAAATTCACAAATAGGGTTTATGTTCGGGTTAGATTTTGTCAAAATCCAAACATATTCGAGTTGGGCTGGACTCAACCCGAACCCTAAATTTTTTCCACCATTCTAATTACATATTATGGCTTTTTCAGTTTTTTGTTATTTGGAATCCATATTGTTCACAAGCATGGGCGAGGGACTTGAGGACTTGGGACCGGTTTGGACCTTGTAATTTAGCAAAATCAATGATGGGAAACTTGAGATTAAGCTGAGACTGGTATAGTTTTCCTTTGAATGAATTGGGTCGGTCTGAAATGGGCAATATGTACTTCTTAGGGAATTTTGTAATACCATTTTCACACAAATGCTCCACTCAAGGCTTCCTCTCTTATTTTGAATGAAGAAATGAGAAGATTCAACTAAAGCGTTTCTTGTTTTCAGACCAAAGGCTTCCTCTCTTATTCTTCAGTATCCTTATCAGCTTTTCTATTTTCTTCACTGTAGGAAGGCTTTTCAATTTTGTCCATGGATGATGAGATTGGGAGTCTTTTGGGGGCTTTGTTATCAGGCAAAAGCTTTAATTTGTACATCCAGAAGACGTGTTTCAGGTTGGAATAAACTAGCTACCCCTATAAGTAAAAGGAGCTTCTCAAGATTGGTTTGCTAAAATGCATGGATATTGACACAAGACACGGACACGGACACGGACACGAACGCACACATAGACACAAAACAAAAACAAAAAATTAATACACCGGAGGACATAGCGATAAAATATATAAATTTCTATATAGAAGTTATTTTATACTACATATATATTTCAATACTATACACACATAATATTAATGTCGTCAAGATGCAATTTTACCTTCCCTTGCTTGCTACCTTTATTAGGTAGGATAAGGAAAATGATGCAGTATTGAAATTATGTTTTGAATATCTTGTACCTCAATAAATAAATAAATAAAAACACTTGTTTTGAATCCCTCTCTTTTTTTTTTTTTTTTTTTTTTTTTTGATAAGTAAGGTTGAATCCCTCTCTTGATATTATGTGATACTCGATCCTTGATCTAGACTGCTATATTTAGGATTTAAGTATCCTCGATTAGGTGTGTTTGTGTGTTCAAGTCTTCCTCTCCAATAAAATTATGCCCGAAACATCTGGGAGAGAGAGTAGAAAAAAAAAAATGGATTGGGTATGATTGATCCAGTATCATGGACATAGCGATAAAAAAGACACTGGAGGACAGAGCTATGATTGTTCCAGTATCATGGACAGTTTCTATTGATTGGTAATAGATCTTCTCAATTATGGTGCTAACAATTATTTTAACAAAAGCAAATAAGTTTCTCTAATGACTTGACTCTTCCATAACCATTTTTATTATTAGATCTCATTAGTGAAATAAGAAAGATATGTTTTGGTGCTAAGAATTTGTTTGGTAGAGATAATGGTTGATTTAGAGAGAATGGGTTCAGAGATGACCTTGGTAGCTATGGATTTGACTGGGATGAAAGATTTTGAATTGGAAACAAAACCAGTGGAAGAGGATTTAGCAGAGTGAGGATTGCTGGAAGATGGAATAATGGCTTCGTGAAGTTTGCTGGAACATTATTCTTCAGACTATCCTCATTTTTCGTATTTCACAACCATTATCTCTTTTATTGGAAACCCATTTGACTTTTCCATGCTTAATAACATCCACTTGATTCTTCATCAATCCAATTGGGGCTAATTGAATTATCTTTTTGATAAATTACTACTTAATTTATTATAACATCATTTATTCAATTAAATCATTATAATCTAAAAACAAAGGTACTAATCTAAAAACCAACTGAAAATTATCATCCATTATACATTTTTAGTTTACACACCTTTAATTTGATCTCCTCCAAGTACTCCCCGGCTTCTTCTCTAAGATGCAATCTGATTTCAGTTCCACGACCAAGTGGCTTATTCCAAACATCCTCAGAAATAGCAAATGCTCCATCAACCTTTGATTCCCATACATACCTGAGGAAATAATTAAATAAACATCATATTTCTACCATAAGATAGTAACAATTGCTTGAAAATGAAATGACCCAAAGGGACATACTGTTTTTCATCATTATGTTTGTTAACAACTTCAACATAGTCAGCAATAAGATATACTGAGTAGAACCCAACACCAAACTAACCAATGAGATTAAGGTCTCCACTTGTTTGGATTTTCTCCACAAAAGCTGTATAGAAAAGTAAATTTAATCAATGCCTATCATTCCTCAATCCCACAAAGGAAAGAAGAAAAGTCAATGTTGTAATTGGAATACATTCATCCTTTACAAAATAAAGATACCTAAATTTATCAAAAATAAATAAACAAATAAAGATACCTGATGTTCCAGATTTGGCTATGGTTCCCAAGTTCTTAATCAAATCCTCTTTCGTCATACCTATCCCTTTATCACGGCCAGCCTAATAATTTTCTTTTCTTTGTCCAATTTGATCTGTATTTACCAGATTATAAGCTTAACATTTTAATACTCTTTCAAACCATTAAAAGCACCATTATTTAATATTAATTGAAAGTTCAGACTACAAGTACAATACTAAAACCATCCCTTACTAACCTGGATCTCAAGCTTGGTATTACTGTGTCAAACACTTGTTGACTCTATACTAGATTTCACCCATACTATATAATGCAAAATAAGAAGTGAGTGACACTTTTTTATTATTATTATTTTATACTTTCTTCACTACTTAAGTCTCTACAACAAGGATAGGATATTCAAATATTCAAATATAACAAGATTCACCTTTTATGTGTATGGTGATGTGTGTTTAGCACCTTCTGTTCATGTCAGAAGGCAACACTTCTGTGTTCACATATTACAGGTCATGTACTATTAAATGTGGGGTTTTGTCAAGGGAATTATAAATTGACATTGAAATTTCATATATGCGCACATGCACACATACACACACATATATATATCACCATGAACTTGTGTTTGGCCTCCATCTAAACTGGTTGCCATTCAAGTTTCAAGTCTATGCATGCTTTATTAATGATGCAATATGCATCTTTTATTCTTGTTTCCCAATATGGGAATTTTATCTTAACTGATAAAATGATGAGAATGACAATACTATATAATCATGGAAAGGAATGGGGACATTTGGATTCCATGGGAACAAATAATTCCATTACGTTTTAGATAGCACTAAATTGATTCTCAATTGTCCTTCTTTTGCCAATAAATTCTTAATGATGCATGAATAGTACCATCAACAGCAAAATGAGTGTACATAAGCTTATTGTAATAATAAAAGCATAACAATTACTTTAAATTAAACAAAAAATTAAAATCGTAAGAGCTAGTTATGCAGTGAGATTAAAAACAATATGTTTGTGTGTGTGGGGGGGAGAGAGAGAGAGAAAGACGAACCTGAAGGGAGGCTATGAAGGAAATAAGTAGAGAGTTAGAAGAATAGTAGAAATCTGAACTTGAGAAGTAGGGATACCGTTACGGCTGGGTTATAGAGACGGGGAGAGATAGGGCATCTTATTTTGGCGTTGCTAGCCTGACTTTCTTCGGGCCAAGATTAACCCCTCTTTTCTCGTTGAAGCCTTCGGAGAGAAAGAAAGACCGGGGAGTAAAACAGTGTCAATCAGTCCAGCTCGATAGCTGGGATAGCCAAAGAAAAGCACTGGCGTACTTGTACCCCCTCTCGATTCGACTGCGGCCAAGGATAGGGCAGTCTTTGTTGTTCTGCTGTTACAGTTCCTAGTTAGGGGATGGGTGGAATCACTAATAGTAAAGAAGCAACTAGGGTTTTTGAGAAGCTTTCTTCTCTTTTAGATTTTACAGAGGCGGAGAGAGAGAGAGAGGGCTGCACTGAACGAATGTTAGGGCTGCAATTAGGTCAATATATTAAAATATGGAGAAAGGGCATTTTAGGCAACACAGAAAAAAGGGGAAGGGCATTTTAGGTACCACAAGTTCTAAACAATAAAAATTCATGTACCATCTCAGCTTTTGGGTCAAATTCATTTTAGGAAAACTATGGGACTTTGACTCAGCTTCTAAGTAAATATGGTGTCATAACCCCATTTATATGTAATAATCCCTGTATATAATAGCTAAATCTACCCTATAGCTAAAATTTCTGTTAAAATAACATATTTCGGTGCATGTGAATATTAAGATTTAGTGGTACAAAGTACTGAAACAAAATAAAGATAGCGAAAGAAAAGGAAGTTTCAGATTTTATCACTTCCAGTTTTCGTTAAAGAATTAAAGATTACATTAATCTTGATTTAGAGAGTTTTAATTGGATGGGTAATTAATTTATATTAAAGTTGGCCAAATAAATGTCCCTTTTTTTTAGCTGATTCTGTTTTATATGACAAAGTATAGCATGTTGCAATTTATTGATATTATTATCACAAAGTGATTCACTTTCACCAGTATAAAGACATTTTTAGACTTTTAGTTTGAAAGCTCATTTTTTTTTGTCAGTGTGGTGATTAAAATAAAGTTCTTTTATAGTAAGATCTTGATCACCTTCACTTTAAGTGTGTTCTCCCAACTCTACCCTTATCCCACCATCTTAAATTTCATTTATTCCAAATCAGAAAATGAGATTGGTGTGATGATGTGCGATGATGTTCTGAGTGGTGAAGGGTTAGGCTTCAAATATGGTTCGCCGTATCGGTCGATACGCGATGTATCGATTAGTTCGTAACCCTTTTTTAAGGGTCCGATTCATAACATTTTTTTAAGGTCCGATACCATTACACTCCTCCATAAATTGACCGATTCGACCCGTTTATATCGATATTTGCCTAAGTGTGTTATACCGCGATTGACACTGCGATTGAGAACCATGGCACCATTTTTCCCCTAACCCCACTACTAACTCCTAACTATATTTCAAAGATTTGTCTTTTATACATGTCTAAAAATAATTTTTTAATTTTTAAGTTTTCGAAAACTATTTTTAGAAAGAGTATCTTAAAATTTTTGTCCCAATAATTTGGTAATTTTTAGAAGAATGCATAGTTTTGTTGATATGGTCAATTTGGTCATTAAGTGACTTGAAAAAGTCTTGCCCTGCATTTATAACACTGTTTTACATGCAACTTCAAACAGCAAGTTGTCATGAAATGGAGCTTCTTCTTTCTTCTTATTCTTCTTCCTTGCATTTATAACACTGTATGTTTTTTTTTTTTTTTGGACAAATGTCATAACTCTCTTTTAAAGATTTGTGACAATTTAGTGGAAATTATAGTATGGATAGTCACTTTTTGTTAAAACAATATAAAATATACTTTTATATATACCATTTGCTTGAAAATTCGGGAAAAAAATAAAATAAAATATTAGACATTCTTTAGACCTTCTCCTCTCAACATATTTATTAGTACAAATTACACAAAGGACCTCTCAGGTTTTCAATTTATACATGTAGATAGAAAATGACTGCAATATAACATAAAACCCAAATTAACTATTCGTGGTTAGTGGATCGATATGAATTTACAGTTTTGTCCTTAGAGTTAAACTATTTGTTAAAGGAAAAAATTTAAAAAAAATTGTGTATTATTAAAGTTACGATTTTGCCCCTAAGACTCCTTCACTTTCTTTCCTCTTACAAATCCACCAATAGGAGCGTATACGGTATATACTTAGATAGGAGCGTAGAAGCAGAGAGATCTATGAGATCTAATCGTTGTCATGCTGCTGTTGCTCTCATGACCGTCCTCGTGCTGCTTCTTCTCCTTTTCTTCTTTTTCTCGCCCTTCACTTGGCCATCGCTGTGTTGCACCAGCTTGTGATCACTACCATAGAGTTTTGGCTTGCGCTGATCTCCGCCATACTGCCCTGAATTGTGCTGATCTCCGACGTGAAATACAATTAGAGGAGAGGCTGCCACAATTTGAGCAAGTTTCTGCCAGTGACGTGAAAAGTGGGTGATGGATTTGACAGCATAATCAAGGAATTCGGGGATGACGGGCAAATGGTGGTTTGGTGAATTGGAGGCATCGCGGCCCTTGGAGAGAAGGGGATCGGCGGAGAAAGAGGGTTTTGACGGTGGAGGCGGCGCCGCCTCCATTTTCTCTCTCCATCAATTTCTGCTGTCGATTGTGGGTTTGGGGATAGTGGGGGTGGTGGCACCACGGTGGTTGTAAGGTGGGAATGGTGGTGGCAGTTACAACAATGGGATTGTGGTACGGTGGAGGCCCGGTGGTTATCTGCAGATTGTACGTTTGGGGATAGTGGTGGTGGCGACGTTGATGTCGTACTGTCGGTGTGGTGTGGTGGTGGCGCCGCGGCGGTGTAAGGTTTTGTTGTCAATTTAGGTTAATTTAGTAGCTTTTTCTATAATTTCAGGCGTGTTGGGCCAATTTTCAGGAATTTGAGAAATAAACAGACATTAGTGGAATTAAAAACATGGTTTTGTAAGAGGAAGGAAAGTGAATGAGTCTCAAGGGAAAAACCTTAACTTTAACAATACACAATTTTTTTAGATTTTTTTATTAAACAAATAGTTTAACTCTAAGGACAAAAATATAAATTTATATCAATCCACTAACCACAAACAGTTAATTTGGGTCTTTCTGTTATATTGTGGACATCTTTTATCTATATGTACAAGTTAAAAACCTGAGGAGTCCTTCGTGTAATTTGCCCTATTTATTATGATACATAAAATCAATACCCTTTTTTTGTTATTCTTTATTTTTAGGTGCAGCAGTGTTATCGAGTACTAAATAATCGAGCCTTAACTCTCGATCCATTGCTAGGTGAGGTTTGAATCCCTACATTCTTTTAAAAATTAGGAACTTTATATTACTGGACCACTGACCCATAAATATAATAATTTTTTTTTTTTCACATATAAAATTCGTCACATCACCGATTTATCAAAAACGAAGTCTTGACTCTTATTACACTATTAAATATTAAAATTTTAGCATGTATAATAATAAGGGTAAAGTGCAAAAAATCCCCCTGAACTATCAGCCAATTGCACAAAACCCCCCTGAATTAACCAATGAACTATTAAAAAGTTGCATTTAAGGACAGTAGGCAAGTTTCCGTCACCAGAAAAAGAAAATTACAAAATTATCCTTTAGTGGAACGATGCAGTTTTGATGGTTTATCCCCAAATCACACCTAAACACAACCTTAGTTCTTGTTACACCTAATTACCCAAACACAGCCTTATCATTACACTGTTTATCTTCTTCATCAATCCTAACCGTAAGATTTCGCCGCTCCAACTAAGGCAGCATAAACAGTAGCTCTCTCCCTCCCTCTATGTGTGTGTGTCTATTTTTATATATATATCTGTGCTTGTCCAGAGAATTGAAGATATCCAGAGAAAGCATTTTCGGGAGAAATAGTTGAATATGAAACAGAGGGATTGAAATCCAAACAAAACCCTCACCACTCCTCTCCGTCGATACCCTTACACTCCTCATCGGAACCGTAACTCAGCCGGCGACACACCCCTCTTTCACTCGTTGCTGAATTGATGGTTCAAATTAGACCCAATTGCTTGTTTCAGTGAACCCAAATCGAGAACATGGTCTCGTCGCCGAATTAATGTTCAGATTGAAACCCAATTGGATCGCCGTCGTCGCCTTCGTTGTTCGTCGTTGGCATCGCTGTGTCCAGTGCTTGTGGATTTTGACCCACCTGCTGAGACCCAACCAGACTGGATTGCAGAGGGTTGAGATGTGTGTTTTTGTGTGTTTTCTTCTTTTGCATTGATTTTGTATGAAAGTTGGGTTCCAAGGTCTAGAAAAGAGAAAGAGGGGGGGTGTTGATTGTTGCAAACTCTTTGATTTTGCAAGAAAAGTTGGATTCCTAGGGTTAGAAAACAGAGAGAGGGGGTTGTTGTTTGTCTTAATTTTTTTTTTTTTTCCTCATCTTCTTCAAGAGATGGAGTTGGATTAGAGAGAGGGAGAGGCGGTGGTGGCGTCCATGGATGGTGGAAGTGGCTGGTTGGGGAAGAAGATACAGAGAGAGAGAGAGTCGACGTTTTGGGGTTAATTTTGTTTAGGTTTTAATTTTGGATTTTTTTTTTTTGGAAAGTATCAAAAATTTTGGTTTTATACAATAAGGGCAGCTTTGTCATTTTAAAGTTATAGCCCTGGCATGTGATTATCACGCGCTTATTTAGCAGGAGGAACCAAACGGAACCTTATCGGTGGGTAAGTTTTGCAAAAGTTTGGATAGTTTAGGGGGTTAAATGTTAAAAAAAAAGTTCAAGGGGGATTTTAGGGAGAGAGAGTATAGTTCAGGGGAGTTTTTTGCACTTTACCCTAATAATAATAATAATAATGTTGTAAAGTAGATGTGACACACAAAAGATGCAGTTGTGATATGTGTGGGACATGCTATTACCTCCCCTACCTTCTTTACTTTACTTTATGACAATCCTCTGTATGTGTGATATTATAGTTCTCACTGCAATAAACTACGTGTAAAGCTAAACCAGCTTAGCATAAGAATGACTATTACTGGGTCGGGTGGACCCACGCACCCGACCCAGTAATAAACACAATTACAGAATGGTAGCTTAAATGGGCCAACAGGCCCTAGCTACAGCTAAGCTCTAGGTCTGCTGTCTGTTGTTCTTGTTCTAGTAGGGGCCCATTCTCTACTTTAGTCCCCTCACTCTAACTTGAGGCCCATTGTTCCCAAATCTTGCTTATTATGCTTTTTTTTTTCTTTTTTCTTTTTAAATTATTCTTATATAATAGTATTCTTAAAAGAAAAAAAATAGTATTCTTGGATAATATTTATGGTTATGACACACACAGAGTCAAGCATGGAACTCAATTACGCCACTTGCAATAAAATTAAATATATAAAGATTAAATTTTGCATCT